CAAAAAAAAAAAAAAAAAAAAACAGATCCAGGTAACCTGTCAAGGCAGCTCTGAGAGTAGGCAAACCATATTGAGCTCTTCAGACCCAGCAGAAATGTCAGCACACTTTGAATGGGGACTTATTATAGTATAAATGGCAAGCTTGTAATTCAGTAGAATTAATTTAACTGAACAAAAACAAGCAACTTTTTAGGAAGCACTTATACTGAGATCTGCCACTTTGAGCCCTTGGCTGTGACTAGTAGGAGCCCATACTCCTCGGGGATGGTGAGATTTGTGAACACATGCTCTGTAAGTGGCTGTATGGCAGGTTTCATGACTGGGAAAGCAGCCCAAAGCCAAAATTGATATGAAAGAGATCTGATTTTCCCATGGTAAAAGCCCAATAATAGAAGATTATGTAACTAATCAAAAATCCAATGCCTACATTTTTTGAGAAATACCCTCAAACATTGTATCTGTTTCAGTTACTCTGAATGGTGAACCTCAGGATCTCTTTGTCTATAATATATTTGGATTGGTTTGATAGACAACATCATGACGAACATGAAATTGTATTAATTCATATGATATAGTATCATGTCATCTATTAAGTTCTCAAGGATTCCCTTAGTTAGCCACATACAATCTTAAGATAAAGAAATTCTCTATCTTTCAGTTATGGTAGTCATAAAAGCCACCTTGGAGATATTTCTCAGAATCATATTAGAGGAGATTTTTAGAAATAGTTGGGGTTATTTCATGGCTTTGTGATAATCCAGTATCATCTGATTTGCTGCCTCCTTGGCACTCCTGCTTGCACCTCAGATAGGATTACTGCTTTCTGGGCCTGACAACTTGACCTTGAACCCTGCCAGGCAAAGCTACCCTTAAAAATGGGTGCATTCCAAAGCATGTTCCTAACAGTTTCTTTCCTTCTTCCTCCTACATGAGTTCTCCTCAAAAGCCTCAGAGCTTGGGCAGCCACATGCAGCATGTCACATTCTCTCTTGACTGTACAAGTCTTCCCATGTCTTCCACTCATCCCAAACCTGCCTAATGATAATAGATTTCAGCTGTCATTTGTTCCTTTAATCATCTATTTTAAAAAGCTGAATTTGCTGGAGGCTTAGAAAGCAGTGGAACTGGTTTTTCTTATATTTTAAGAAGATAGCTGTAATCTATAAAAGATTAGGTGACATATATTAAGAAGCATAATTATATAATAAACACCCATGGACCCACCACCTTGTCCTGTCCCTTTGCTTACATACGTCCCTACTCCACTCTGTCCAGAGGTAACCACTGCTCTGAAGTGTGTATTTGTCATTCTCGCTTCTTTTAAAAACAGTTTTGTCACATATGTATATATTCCTAAACCATGTGTGGTTTAGTTTTGTGTGTTAAATAGACAAACAGAATTCATCATTGCATAGAATTCATCAGAGCAACCATAAAGGTTGCTCTTCTCTGGTCACCTTTTTGGGAGTTGATCTGTTTCCCAGTGTAGGCTGCAGTTGCTCAAAACCAGCTGAGAGCTCTTTGTTTGAAATTTCCTGCAGAGGTAGTTTATCATCGAGATAAAGTTTATTATCAAGAAAATCAGTGCTGTTGCTGTACAGAATGTTTACTCTGATTCCACTGTTTTTCCTACAACCTCTCTTTTTTCCCCATTCATTTATTTAAGAAATATCTAGTGGGCCAGCAGTGAGAGTTCAGCAGAGGAGAGTTGAGAGTCTTGCTCCCATTGGAGCTTGTCCTTCTGTCTGCTTCCCTCCATTGTTACTTAGGCAACAACTATAGTTGCAGGATAAGAGATTACAGGATACAGAGCAGGAGTCAGCAAACCAATAGGACTGTCCAACCAGTATGGGCAGGAGCCAGAGGGAGGCGTATGAAGAGACTTCAGGAAATAGCCTTCGTAGGTGCCTACCTCTCTTGGACCCTTTGTGGCCTCACTTTGGTATTTCTGGCACAGATTTGTTAGAATACCTCATACACTTAAACATATTCATGTCATTGCTTGTTTTAGTCAGGGTTTTTTTTTTTTTTTTTTTTTTTTTTGCTGCTGACCAAAAGTCTTGACAAGAACAATTAGAGAAGGAAAAGTTTTTGGAGGCCGTTCATGGTTTTAGAGGTCTCAGTCCATAGATGGCCAACTCCATTCCTCCGGGTCTGAGGTGAGGCAGGACATCATGGCAAAAGAGTGTGGTGAAGGAAAGCAACTGGGAACATGGCACTAGGAAGCAAAGAGAGAGACTTCTTTCACCATGGACAAAATATATACTCTGAAGGCACGCCCCCAAGGACCCACCTCCTCTAGCCACCCCCTACCTGCTGACAGTTACCACCCAGTTACCGGGTTAACTATCAGCAGGTTAATGCACTGATTAGGTTAAGGCGCTCACGAACCAATCATTTCACCTCTAAATCCTCTTGCATTGTCTCCCAAGTGAGCTTTTGGGGACACTTCAAAATGTCATCTAAACCATAACATTACTCTACCCCTGCTGAGAAGCCCCTGCTGTGTGGTGTAGCTCAGGGCCTCTACAATGAAGGAGAAAATGGGCTCTGTGACACCCGAAATCTAACAACCTAGATTACGATTCTTTTTATTAGAGGACTCAAAAGTCACACCAGGTCATTTAGATGAGATTGATGATGTAGCTGAGACTGTCTGGATAGTATAACTGGAACCTCAGGAATGTGTTTAGATTTTTTTCTCATTTGTAATAATATATATAATGAATATAAATTTTTGTATACTTACACACATTTCTTGTATTCCTCACCTGCCTTCACATGACCCAGTCACCAAAATAATGTTGGTAATCCTTCTGTAAAATATGACTAATGCCAAAACACTCACCCCCTCGTGGTTCTAAAGCCATCTCTGTGTGCCCATGCACATTTGCTCTTCCCAGTTAGGCACTTCTCAATAGTCGGCTATGTTTGTCCCCAAACCTACTTATGCCAGTTATACTTGTTACTAAATTGCAAAATTTAATTAAATGTTTTCATGTAGTGATAAAATAGAAATTCAGAAAGAAAACTGTTTTAGTGACAAACTTAACTGAATGCTTTTGAAAATAAAGATAAGTCACTTTTTAAAAATGCATTTGTGGGCTGGGGACGTAGCTCAATGGTAGAGCACTTGCCTACATGTATGAGGCCCTAGGCTCCATCCCCAGCACCACACAAACAAACAAAATAAACCTTTCAGATTAGGTGTAAATAAGGCAACTATAAAGGATCAAAAGACAATAAAATGTAAAAGAATTCTGCCCTCAGATTATGCTGAAGTTCTCTTTAACTGCCAGTTCCATTTTAAATGGAGTAAATGGTATATCAGAAATCCTACAAGGTGCATCCTGCATTTTGTTAAGAAAGAACTATGACCAGCAGACAATGCTCAAAAAATAGACCTTGGCCTTTCATCAAAGGATTACTAAATGAGAGTATATGTTTTTTAAAATATTTTTTAGTTGTTGATAGATCTTTATTTTATTTATTTATATGTGGGTGCTGATAATTAAACCCAGTGCCTCACACATGCCAGGAAAGGGCACTACTGCTGAGCCACAGCCACAGCCCCAGCATTTATGTTTTAATTTAAAAAATACATTTATTTATATGTGTATAAGGATGGATGGGTGGGTGGATATGGATATGTGCATGAGCGATTGATTTTTCGTGCTCCTCTCTTTAAATAACTTTCCCAGTCTCCTGTCTTTCTCAGGAACACTTGAAAAGAGAGCTTCTATTGTTTGCCTTATGTACTTGGCAGGGCCACCTGACTCAGGAGTCATTTTAAGTAGTGACATCATTAGAAGATTTTAGATGTGACACCACTTGCTAAAGACGTCTTGGTTTTTATTTTGTTTATTTATTTTCTCATTTAATGAAAGCCCTGAGAAACAAAACTCCATTTTTACAAACAATCATTTCAAAAGAGAGAAAAGGCATTGTCACACTGCTGGATGGATGAGGTAGGTCGTGACCTCCCAATGCTCTGCCCTATCCAGCCATGCCAAACCCCCTAGCAGATCTTTTCTCTGACTGGTCCCTGGAGGTGGGCCCCCTGCAGCTTGCAGAGAAGCAGCCAGCAGGGGACAAACAGGAAAGTAGCCTGTGCTTTCAATTCCAGACCAGTTAGAAGGACAAGAAGAGCATCCTTGGACCAGAAGAAAAAATGGCCTCAGACCAGGCCTCTTGACTCTTGGATTATGGTCTGTTTTTTGACCCTGCCTTTTTCCAAAGTTATGAGGGGCCAGAAACACTTTTAGAACTATGAGGAGAATAATATCAGTAAATAGGGAAACATTTCAAATCCTAATCTAGCCACACTCCCTGCTTTTCAGCACATCTAGCCACACAAGTAACTGTGCCCTGTGTTTAATCTGCATGTGTGTGTGTGTGTGTGTGTGTGTGTGTGAATGTGTATGTGTGTAAGGCCTTAGATAAGAGCGACTTCAGTTCCAGTCCAGACTGAGGCAAGTCTCCCATACAAGATGCTTTATTTGCTTTATTTTCTTGAATTCACAAGGAATAAAATCAAACCATGGAAACGATGAAAAGATGTCCCAAGAACCACAAAGCTTCAAGACCATTTCGTACAGAATAGAATATCTCAGCCACATAGAGGAAGGAGTAGAGCTTCATTCCAGCCATCCCAAGAGGATCGATAAGTGATTCAGCCTGCTTTCCATTTTAACCTTGTTGTGGCTGAAAATGTGGCCCACCATGTACAGAGCCATGGAAACCACCGTTCTGCCTCTGCTGAAGGCAATGGACTTGAGTAAATGGAGAAGGGTGGGAGGGGAGGGCAGGGAGGGTGGGCATGACACAGGAGCCCTGCTTTGTTTCTCTGAGGAGTAACTGGACCCCTGCCCAAGAGATGCCAGGCCACAGAGAAAGAAACTGCAAGAATGAGTCATCCCCTCCCCCATTTGGGAAGAAAACAGGGGCCTCCCTTATCAAGAGGTAGGCAACTAAAGTACACAGACTATGCTTAGCGAAAGGCTAGGATCAGCTTCTGTTTTATTACCTATTTAACTAAGTGGATTAAATGGAGTTCACTGGAATTGTACACTTAAGAGTTCCCTTACAAAATGCTGTTATCTCAGGAACTGGCTTAATAAAGCAGGCTGTCAGGGGTTTATTAGAAGTAACTGAATACAGCACCTTACAGAGCAAAGATTCAAAGGAGCCCACACAGCCGGACCTGGGAAACCTCACACCTTGTGTGGCCAAGGGAGAAGGGCCAGGGTCTAGACCTGAACCACCAATTAGCATCTGCTCCCAGGACAGGCCCAGGTCTTCCCAGGAAGAGAGGCATTTACCATTCCCTCCATTTTAAAAGTGTTTCTTTAGCTTGGTGGTGAATTAAGTATTTTATTAAAAAAAAAAAGTGTGTGGGGGGATACTATCGATTTTTTATATGTGTGATCTTAACACATCTGAGACAGCAGTCAGTACTGGGAATTCACAGAACCACCTTTGGAGAGGGCCTGCAAGGATTTGAATCTCAGGTTTACCATTGACTCGAGAAACGACCTTGTGGAACTTCTCTATGGCTCACTTTCTCCATCTACAAAATGGGAATGACAGCAGTATCTGATGGGTTTCTGTGGAGGTTAAACATGCTAATGTGAATAAATTTCTTAGAATAGTTCCTAGCATAGAGTGAGCATTCTGTGATTATAGGGATTACTATCCTCTCAGAAAATAATTCACCCCACTTAATAGCTTTTGTATCCACATCCCCTCTTATCTGTTAATTTCAATGTGAACTTGAAATGAGCAGCCTTCACGGATGAGACTTTGAATGGTGGGAGGCCATGTACATGGACAGCTCAGGTCTGTAGTCAGGGACATTTTGGACCCTGGCCCTGCTGGTGATAGCAATATGTGATCTCCCACAAGATATTTATCTTCTCTGACCATATTTCTAAAGAATTTGCATGTTTAACTTTCAATTTGGGTAAATAGATTTTCTAGTGAAGATTAATTAGGAAACATGCCTAAAAACTGAAAAAACCAAATCCCCTTTACCTAGTGTTGACAAAGCATGCACATCCTTGCACACTTCTTTGGGGATAACAGATGAGTTAAAGTTAACGATTTGGATGGAAGTTGCCCTGGTACGGCTGGTTTGAACAATGGACGTAATTGGCTATTTTTCAGGAGACTGTTACTTTATTAGTCAATTTTGGACTTTTTGTTTTCCTTCCAGCAATTTGACAGTTTTATTTTCCTGTTGAATTCATTTGAGCTCAATTCACCAGAAACCTATAAACACTTCTTTCAAACAATCTACTCCAGTGTTGACTTTAATTGTTGCTTTTGCTTAACTTCAGTGTACAATCAACAACTTCCATGTATTATCTAGAATTTTTAGCAAATAATTTTTAGTCTAGCTGATGATTCTATTACACTCAGCTTAATGGGTAAATATACTCCTCACTTTCCAAAAAATTAAGCCATATAAAAAAATTGGATAAATTTCTCAATTCTATAGAAAGTGAATTGATTTAAATAAAAAATGTCAATCTATTAGATAGGTTTCTTTTAGAGGAATAAAACACTTTGCATAGTATTAGAACTAGTATCATTTTCTTTCTCCTTAGTTTTGTGCCTTTTTTATTTGAAATAGCAATACATACTCTAAATCTTTAGATATCATTGATATAATTTCTGACATCTTAACTGGTTCAATCTGAGAATTTGTAAGAAGAAAGCTCTTGATTGAGTGAGAAGCCATTCCCTTCCAGGACTTCTTCTGGTTGACTGGTGCCTGATGCACAGACTATTGTATCTTACCAAGGACAAGCATGGTGTGATGTCATTCAATGGACTGTACCTGTGGAGCTGAGCTTTTCTTGGTGATGAACCTCTTTAGGAATCAGGAGGAAGTTATGAATGTGTTCCTTAGAAAACTGCACACGTGCTCCTTCTCACAAAGTTTGGCATTGGGTTCCAGGGAGTAAGAACATGTGACCCCTGAATCCTCTCCATCAGCTGGCTCCCTTCCACCCCCTGCAGTTGATAGATCCCATGTGTGTAGGGTCTATTGAATACAGGAAGGATTTTTTTCTCACTGGGCTATGGTTTGGGTGTGGGTTGTCCTCCAGGGTCATGTGTTGGAAGTTTGGTCTCCAATGTGGTGATATAACTAGTGGTAAAACTGTAAATAGGTAAGACCCAGTGGAAGGTGATTAGGTCATTGGGGGCACTGACCTTGGAAGGGATTAATACTGGTTTTACAGAGAGAGAGTTCTCAAAATAGCACGTTTTTATTAAAGGAAAAATACTGGTCTCTCCTCATTCTCTGGCTTCTCCTCTTACCATGTGATCTCATACATTCTCCCACCATGATGCCACCTGCCATGTTGTGGTGTAGCTAAAGAGCCCCTTGTCAGAGGCTGAACAGAGAGTTTCACCAATATTAGATTTCCAGCCCAAACCCATGAGCTAAATAAACCCTTTTTCTTTATAAAGTTTCCAGTCTCCAGTATTTCATTATAACAATAAAAAATGGATTAGCACAACTATACTTTGATTTTTTTCCCTAAATGTTAATGAGTCAGATGTTTCTGGAAGCAAGAAGACAAAGATTAGACACAGGATTTTTGTCCACCCTTTGAGAGTTATTATATAAAATGTCACACAGTCATTAAGAGTATGGACTCAGCTACCCATGTGTTACCTTGCTACTTGATAGAGTTGGGTTCTTTTTAATGCTTATATAAATGTTAGATAAATTTCTTTTTAAGTTTAAGCTTGTTTGATTCTATCATTTCTCTCTAAAAAAACAAGTTCTCTGATCAAAATCAACAAGTGTCTCTTCACTTTATACTAAGTAGGATAGCTATAATCAAGAAAATGGATAATTTGGATAACAAACAGATAAAGCTAAACCCTCTTATACTCCTGTTGGGAATGTCAAATAGTGCCGTCACTTTGGAAAACAGTCTTCAGTTCTTCAAAAATTTCAACACAGAGTTGTCATATGACCCAGCAATTCTATTTCTAGGTAAATACCCAAGAGAAAATGTGTATCCACTCAAAAAATTGTACATGCAAAACTAACATTTGGTAGGAAGAACCCAAATGTCCTTTAATTGAAGAATGGGTATATAAAATGTAGTGTCTCCATCCGATGAAATATGGTAAGCAATAAAAAGGAATGAAGCACTGATACACAGTACAACTTGGATGAATCCTGAAAACATGGTAAATGAAAGAAGCCAGTCACAAAATGTCACATATTCTATGATTCTATTTATATGAAATGTTAAGAATTGGTAAATCCATAGACAGAAAGCACTTTGGTGGATGCCAGGGTGTAGTGGTAGGGAAAAAATGGGATTTATTGCTGACAGGTATGTGGTTTCTTGTTGGCGAAATAGAAGCTGTTCTAAAATTGATTGTGGGGGTGATGGTCTTATACTAAAAGCTATTGGATTTTTCATTTTAAATGGGGAATGATTTACATCTTAATAAAGCTATGTCCAAACAATAATGACAATGAGAGGATAGCTCTGGGTACAGCCTGCCTGGGTTCAATTGCAGTGGCAGCTCTGGAGTCAAGGATTTGAGACAAGGATTTGAGTGCAGTTACTGCATTTGGAAAGAGCCCCTGATCACAGTGAGCCAGCAGGGAAGGAAGGAAGGATGATCAAGGGGACGTTCATGAATGAGTTTCTGCTGTGGGTGGCTGATCCCCTCAGAAAGACTGTGGAGACCACAACTCAAAAGTGTCCCTGCCAGGGGTGAGAAAATGGAGTTATTTCTATGTATATGGACTGTCCAGCACTTCCAGTTTGCACCTGTGCAGGTTTGACACTCTTACAACCAGAGAAAACTCCAGATGGGGAGAACTAGAGACAGAGATGAGGGACAGAGACGGAGACAGACAGACATGCAGGAACTTGAGCTAGAAAGCACTCAAAGTGCCCAAGAACTGTTCACCAAACCTACAGGTGACATGAAGGGTGACACCTGCAGATATGGACAGGGTTTTGATAATGTCCACTTATGGGAGTGTTACCTAACCTGTACCTCAGTTCCTGCATCCTCAAGATGAAGAACATAATTGCTCCTACCTCACCAGGGCGATGTGAGAAGTAATGAGTCAATGCTCATCTGATGTAAATAAGAGGGTCAAGAATACACATTTTAATCTTTCTCTATTTTAAAAACTTCTGTCTTATTCTTGATGTTTTCTCTCCTGAATGAGCTTCTAACAAAATAGAGAGTGAGTCCATGTAATTCAAAAGGAAATAGAATGAATGCCGAGAAGACTCTGCGAGGCCCCTTTGTGCCTCCTCAGCTCTGAATGGCTGCCTTTTGAAATATCCTTATGCTTTGTTAGCACATCAGACAGATGCCCATCCCAGCAAGTTCTGCTATTGGAGCAACTCTATTATCTTTCTTCAGTCTTTCTGTCTGACTTTATGGAAACAGTTAGTGGGATTCAAGCAAGGGAGCTTCATAAGGGGTCTCTTATATTTTCCTTTGAGGCTCCTTAGACGTTCCCAAAGCTGTATTCTGAAGAGTGCAGCCCCTAGGGAGTTTCTTTCTATGAACCGTCTGCAGTGTAGGGGTCTAAGCCAGTGGCTGCGACCCCAGGCATTCTGAGCACCACTTCTGTCAGAGGCATTTAGACTCACAATATGTTTTGTTGCTCGTGGGTGATTGAAACAGCCCAGTTGGTGAACAGCCAGGGCAAAATGGGTTTTTAAAAAAATTCCCAACTGTATTATCAAGCTCAAGCTGTCATGAGGAAAACTTAATTTAA